AGCATATTCATTTACCTAGTGGATCAAATTTATATGAATTCTTATCGACTTATTTGGTTCACATACTAGTTATCATAATACTGTTCATATGCATGCTTATTTATGAATGAATAAATGTGTGGATTATAACTTTTGGTTATTGGACTATGGGAGATATTTGCTTTCTTCTTATATTGAACTTATCCTAATTTCAACTGTAACATGACTTTGAAGGTTGAAGAGTCCATACATAATAACAATAATAATATACTCAATAAAATTTTATAAGTGAAATTTAAAAAGAGCAGAATATACATAAATTTTATCATTATTTCGTAGAGATAGAAATATTATTTTCAAAAGACTCTGAACTCAAGTGCAGCAAATTCAGATAAAAAGAGACAGAAATAATGATGAAATTACAGCAAGTAACACAAAATAGTGTGATAATTAAAATATCAAAATAAAAACTATAATAATACAAGTATAATGTTAATAACAAACATCAACCACCCTAAATAAGATAACACTACATTCCTACTATCCTTCTGGTGACAGTAACATATTCAGGATCTGAAGATAGTGGATGCTTCACTTTTTTAACATAAAATCGTTACAATCGTGAAAAAGTTAATGAGAAAGCTATATTTATATTACTATCAGAAAACAAGACCTCATAGTCACAAATTATAATGTACTCAACGATTTTTCGTACTTTGAAATTAAAGTGAGTAAAATAACATTGCTTACACTGCTTGTCAATGTCTTATTATGCTTTACATAGAGAATTAAAAACCTTTATAAATATACAAAAAATAAATACATATTATGTAGTTTGGGTGAGAAAATTTGTGATTCCATGGAGAAAAAATGGAACATGTAATTAATTCAAAAAACTGAAGTTTGTACTCAACAATTTTTCCATATATTGTTATTAAAATAAATAACAATAATTATTGCTAATTTTAAACTTGTAGTTTCACATATTGTTTTAGAAATTGTTAAAGAGGAACTATAAGCCTAAAATTAGGGAAAGAAAATAGAAGCCTAGAATTAGGGTGAAATAATAGAAGCCTATAAGTAAGGGAAGAAAATAGAAACCTACCAATAAGGGTTGTGGTGGAGTGGTAAGTATTTCTTCATCCTTAACCATAAGTCTCGAGTTCAAGTCTCCAATGTGAGACTCCTCGGTGTGAGTCTGGATTTAGTCGGGCTCCAATATGAATACCAAACACCCGATGAAAAAACAAACAAAAAAAAAGATAGCTTCAATACCCACTTATATTAATCAACAAGCCACATGCAACAATTATTTATTGGGTGCTTACTAATTAATTATATAGGTTTTTTTCATATGTTTTATATACCTATATAGAGTTCAATGAATGCTCGAGCACTCACAAAGTTCTATGTGAATCTGCCCCTTCTACCCTAATACGTGATTAAATGTGATGTGTGGGTAGAGCTGGTCTCTTTTTGGCTTCGTTGGCTTCAATTTTCCTCGTGCCAATTTACATAAAAACATCTAATAAGATCAAAACACTCCAATAACAATGTAAACCACACAAATATGATCAAGATATAAGGTGATAATGTACTAGAAATATTAACTATTAGTGTAATATTAATTTCAGTTATTGTAATGTATAAATATTATATATACATAGTTATATATATACACACAACTTTATATTATTTATATAATATTGATACATTACATAACCATTTATACAATATCGATAGACTACATATACACACAATCATTTTATTGAAACGCCTTTTTATCACCTATACAATAAGAAGTCCTAGATGTCATGGATGACATCAAATATTGTAAAATCAAACGTGTTCTTTTGAGATTTTTTCTTCTTTGGCTTTTCCTTGCCAAACAAATCCTTATTTGAACAATGCAAAAAATTCACATATATAAGAACATGCATGCATGTGTGGAGAAAACATTGAGCAAGAAAAACTCAAAGAAAAAAAGATTATTAAGCATATTATTAATTAGCATTAGCCAAAATGACAACATCTTTTCCCATGAATGCTGGTGATGGTCCTTATAGCTTCTCCAAAAACTCACAATTGGCGGTACATATTAATAGTATATACAATTTTGATTTTGAATTAGTCATATATATACTCCTTTCGTTTCAAACTATCTTGTTAGATTACACTGATTATATCGTTGTTATTGTTGTAATTCCATGCAGAGAGAAGTGTTAGAGGGCTCAAAGGAGATGGTGAGAGATGCAATTATAGGAAAGTTTGACATCAAAACCATGTTATCTTCTTCAAACACATTATGTATTGCAGAGTTTGGATGTTCTGTTGGACCAAACACTTTAATTGCAATGCAACATGTTGTAGAAGCTCTAAAGGACAAGTACTTGTCCCAAGTCATAACAAATTCCACTAGTAATAATCTTGAAATCCAATTATTTTTCAATGATCATGTCACCAATGATTTCAATACCCTCTTTCGATCACTCCCTATTGATCGATCCTACTATGCATTTGGAGTTCCAGGATCTTTTCATGGTAGATTATTTCCATCGCGATCCATACATTTTGCACATTCTTCTTGTTCTATACATTGGTTATCTAAGATTCCAAAAGAGTTATTAGATGAGAAATCCTCATCATGGAATAAAGGATTGATTCATTATATAGGTGCTTCAAATATTGAAGTAGTGAATGCTTATGTTGCTCAATTTGAAAAGGACATGGAAATGTTCTTCAATGCAAGAGCTGAGGAAATTATTCATGGAGGAATGATGGTGCTTATTACACCATTTTCAAGTTATGTACGTCTCATGAAATTCTTTGGTTCCAGTCTTACGGATTTGGTGAATGAGGTAAGTAAATATTTTGAGTTTAAGTTATATATATCGTCACTTTTAAAAAAATTACTCCATAGGCTACCTTAAGGCAAGGGTGGACTTGCCATTATATTAAAGTTATATGGGTTCGACATAACATTGGCTCAGATTCAATATTATATTTGTTATAAGAAATTCATTTAATATGTATAAATAACATATCTCGTATCTGGTTATTATCTTTGCATCTTACACCGTAACTAGAATGCTAAGTCATGACATGATATTTAAGAAGATAAGTTTGTAAGTATATCTTTAGCTCAAACCTTGTGTATGTGTTCAGAATTTCATTAAACATATACAAGTAATATATGTAATTGAGATTTATTTATTTATTTCCACAGGGAAAGTTAGATGAGTCTATAGTTGACTCATTCAATTTGCCAATGTATTTTCCATCTGTTGAAGACATGACTAAAGTGGTGGAGAAAAATGATTGTTTTAGCATTGAGAAAAGTAGAATTAACATATCCCAAATCAAAGCTTGTGGATGAGGCTGATGCAAAGACTTTAATGATAAACCTAAAGAGCTGTTTTAGAAGGACTTTTAATCAATCATTTTGGAAATGAAATAGCAAAAGAGGCTTGTGAAAGGACTATACTCAAAAGTGAAGAAATTTCAACATGGATGAAAGCTAATTACGAAAAATCATGTCAATTATTTGTCGCTTTGAAGCGTAAATAAGTTTTTACGAAAAAGATTTGTGTATTATATAATTCATCAAGTGTATGGAGAGATGATGTAACACGTCTCGTATGTCAAGTTTTATGTTTTTCCTCATTTGTTTCACTTTATGTTATCTATAAAGAAAATTTTAAAAAGTCTCTTTATTAGCTTTTACTCTATTGTGTTTTTCTTTCCTCCTTTTTTTTTTTTGCCTAAAATTTAATTAGAAAAATTAAAGATAAATTTCACAGTCACAATAGATTTTATACTTTATCTCCTCCTTAAAAAATTAAAAACATATCTCAAGATATCATTAAAATGATTTGGAAACGACAAGTAAACCAGACAAGAAATGGCCTCCATTTGGGACCTAATGGAATATGAGAAACGGATAAAAAGGCTCGTTTGATCGGAGAACAAGTTATTATGAGATTAACTATTGTAGAATTATTATCATATTGGAATAAAAATAACACCATAAATACGGAATAAATAATTCTGTGATTTTATTTCAATTAAATATGTGATAAATATATTTTAAAATTAATTATTCATCATTTTTCGTATTAAAAAGATCCATAATTTATTCAAAAACTAGCCCCTGACAAGGATAACATCAGCATAAGTAACACATGTGCATATATATATATTATGAAGATAATGATAGCTAGGGCTTTGA